GAACGCAACCCGTCTATCTCCCGATATCATGGTCACCATGGGCCGCGCAAGCCTGCGGGCCTGACCGCAGGCCAAGCGAGGAGGCAATTTGTCAGCTGCGGAGACAGCCCAAAGCAATCAAAGGCCGGTCAATGGCCTGGAAGCAATCCGACTGGTCACGGGAGGACAATGGGCGAAAAAGAGGGTGCGTCCATGGTGGAGCGCGAAAATTTGATCCGCTAATTGTCTCACTGCAGCGCAGTGCACGCCCGCCGTCGTCGTAGACGTCGACCTCACAGTGGCGGCTCAGCGCGTCGACCAGCTCGCCATAGTGGATGGTGAGGGCACAAGGACGGAGCCGCGGAGAGTGTTCTCGGGGCGGGGACACGGGGCATGGTGTCAAAGGATAGCCGTCAAAGCGTCGGCGCCGCTTGATTGGGGTAAGGTAGGATTCCCGCAATTTCCCGTTCTGGCAGGAATTGCTGCCTCTAGCCGTGATTGCTGATGCTTGTACCGCACAATCGACAAAGCAGGCAAGTGTTGGGGGCTGCGCAAACACGTGCACTCGAAGCCCCAGCCGAGGGCCAAAGCTATAAAGCCCAGCTTTGCCCGTCGCGCTTACCCCCCACCCCCATCTTTGCTCCCGTTACCTTCGCTTTTCCACATCGATCCTCCGGCGTCTCGCCCGCAACAATCCGCTCAAGACACGCACAACACAACAGCAACAACACAACTCTTACCAACACAAACACGATCGCCCAATCGACAACCCGGAGGATCCCCATCCCCACTCGTTCCAGTCTCGTCTCGACATCTGTATCCCTAGCGCCGATTCTCCACATACTCGAACACCCTAGACTTTCTGTTACCGACTTCTACAGCCATGTTCAACACTCAACGCCCCGTTAGCCACTGGCCCAAGCTCCGTCCCTACGGGAAGACCAAGCAGCCCGAGTTTCACCCCCGTAAGCCCTTCCCCGCACCCCCTCCCACTCCCTACAACCTGCAGGGCGTCCGCCGCGCCCACGTGCAAATGCATAACGAGAACGCGGCCCCCCCGCCTACCGTCCCTCGCCACCGCCGGCCGCGCTCCGAGGGCACGGACTACCCCCCTCGCTCGGAATGGAAGAACATGCGGTACCTCGCGGCCCCGCCGCCGCGGCGCGGCGCGCCCCCGCGCCTCGTCGGGGACCAGATCTACATCGACGTCGCCGACGAAGCGCAGCCGATCATCGACGAGATCAAGGCCCAGGGCCCGCTCAACGAGCGTGCGCAGCGCGTCCTCCAGCAGGTCTCCCAGTACCGCTTCGAGGCGATGGTCCGCGCGAACTACCACAAGGAGGCCGTCATCGTCGAGGAGGTCATGGCGAACGCGCCGCCGCCCGTACGCCGTATGCCGCCGCCCGAGTTCGCAGCGGCGAGGCAGCCCCCTCTCGATGAGGCGGCGCAGCTGGCGGCGGATGTGAAAGGAGAGCTGTTGCGGAGGGAACTGCGCATGCGGAGGCAGGCCCGCAAGCGCGAGGAGAAGGAGCGCAAGGAGCGCCAGGAGGCTAAGGCGGCCCGGGCCGCGCGGGAGGAATTCTTCCAGCACAACGTTGCGTTGAGGCTGCGTGAGCAGAACGAACGCATCCAGCGGGAGATGGAGATGGAGGCGCGGCAGCGGCAGGAGCGCGAGGAGGCCGAGCGCAAGGCGAATGAGGCGCGCACCATGGAGGAGCGCTGGCAGAAAATGAAGCGAATCCAGGCGCAGAGAGAGCAAATGGAGAATATGCAGAGGCGCTGGCGGGTGATAGAGGAGGCACGTGCGCAGGAGATGAGGGAGCAGGAGGAGCGACAGAGGAAGGAGGCGCAGGAGCGGCGCAGGAGGGAGCAGGAGGAGCGGTATGTGAGGCAGCAGGAGGAAGCAGCGCGCCGTGCGCAGGAGGAGCAGGAGCGGAAGAGGAGGGAGGAGCAGGAGCGCGCCGCAAGGGAGGCGGAGGAGGCAGCGCGCCGCGCGCAGGAGGAGCAGGAGCGGAACGCCCGCGAGCAATGGGAACGCCAGGCGCAGGAGGCAAACACCCAATGGGGCCGCACTATCTGCCGGCTTTACGAGGTCAAGTGGCAGAAACTCAAGGAGGAGCCCGTGAAGGACGTTCGCTTCTTCGAGTTCCCCTTCCCCATCGCCGCCGAGACGTGCGACGACCCGTCGGATATCACGCTCGAGCGCGTGCGCGAGTTCCTCTTCTGGCCCCAGCGCCCCGACTGCGAGGGCAAGACGAAGCGGGAGATCCTCAAGATCGAGGTCCTCCGCTGGCACCCGGACAAGTTCGAATCGCGTGTCGGTCCGAAGGTCCTTCCGGCGGACTGGAAGCGGACGAAGGAAGCGGCGGAACTAGTCGCTCGGTGGGTGACGACGCTCATGGCGGAGGCTTGAGTCCCTCGGTTACACGATCACGTTCGACGGCTCTCATGGTCTCTGGTTCTCGTGGGTTCTTGTCTACATATTCTCTGGTTCGTATTCTGGATCTTGTATCTATAGTCACACTGTAGCTTAGCACCGTTATCTCTCTCGCGCTCACACTCGCACTCACACTCTTTCAGTTTTCCTGTTCTGTATCCACCCCACGCTCATTTTGTCTCTCTACTACATCTTCGAGGTTATCAATAGCATTGTTATGCAGCAAATGCCCCGTGTGCACGACTCACCTTTGAGAACGATATATTTACCATTGCGACGACGACGGCAACTCCAATGATGTTCCCAAATTGAGGGGATGGCAGACGCGTCGAAGCCAGACCCGAAGGCCCTATAGCGTATTCTGGTATTGACGTGCTGTCTTTCATGGAGCGGATGGAGCTTGTCAGACTTCAGCAGACATAACGTCGACTGCGTACACACATATTCCCTTCTGGAGCGATATATGAGAGAAGCCTCGCAGCCCGCCCCAATAAAATTGTAATTGCTACGAGATACGGTCGTACGAGCAGATCCAATGCAACCAAGGAGCAAGGCCCACAGGCCTGGGAGAAAGATGCCAGGGGGGCGGCAAAAACGGGCCAGCAGAGCGTAGACAAACGAGAAACTAGTGGGACTCGGAAGCAGCATGATAAAACCCAGCGCGGTCTGCAGCTGGCGACGTACATGTGCTACTGGTGGTTAAGCTCTAGTTCCGACAAGTTGGAATAGAGCCCACAGCTGGGGCAAAGGTCGAGGAGCCTCAGGGAGGGCGGGTATGTTGGTGCCGCCGCGGCCATGGTTTGTGGGTCAGGCGGACTGTAAAGAAAACGGCGCGGCGGACGATGTCACGGCTGAAATAGCTGCTCAGCGAACTACTTACATGTCAATGGAGTGCTGTTTTAACATCTCTGCACACGGTGTATACGATGGAGCTGAGGAGGTACGTGAGCGAACCAAGGGTTCAAGTTACCCATCAGAGCGCGATTGCGAATGTGGGTCGTTGGCCGCTAAGGACTCTGATTGTGGTGCTTGAGGTGCATCAATATTAGCCTTTTTTTGAATGATACGTAACGACGCATCGTGTATAGTTCCAGGCAAGACACGACTGGGAGGCGAGGTGGGCGTCGAGAGGAGAAATATGCGCGCATACAAGCGCCCGCTGCTCGGCATGTGCGTGTGCCGGTCTCGCGGGCCCCTTAGTTCGGCTCTATACTGAATAAACGCATTTCAGCTCAGCGCTCAGGCCCGAGCTTACGAAGTCAAATGGTGGAAGATTGGTCAGTCAAGAAACAACAATCATTCCCGGTAGATACGCCGACTGGCAGGTTGTCTTGAAACGACTACTTGGCTTGCCTTTTGTAGGATGACACAACACAGCCACTGATTATGACGCGGGCGGCCTCGACGAGAATGGAAGGAGCTCGCACTTACGCCGATGACATCATACACCCGCCAAGAGTGACGAGTTCATGGAGTGCGACGTCGCTGCTGGTGCGCGGATGGTGCGAGACGTCACTGCGGTACCTGGGCTCACCTGAAGGCTATATAAGCTCGCCCCAGTGCTTGTCTTCTGTACCAAACACTTTTCCCTCCCATCACACAACACACACATCACCTCACGACTTTTACGACCAACGAGCGTATCATTATCACACAATGGTATGCCGTTCGACCTCTACTCGAGCTCGCGCTCAGCTAACACTGCATGCAGGGTTCCATCGTATCTGCCATCGGTCGCGGCATCAACGCCATCATCTCCGCTATTGCGGCTGTCATTGAGACCATCGTCTCCGCCATCGTCTCGGTATGTCTTCGACACGCGTTCGTCATTGAATTGCGGAGAACTTACCTGGTCATCGTCTACAGGTCCTCGTCGCTATTTGGGACGTGATCGTGGCTATCATTTGTTGCAGGTGCTTCGGCAGCAGGAGGCGAAGCCGCGGCACCACAACCGCATCGACTGGGAGGCGCGGCTTCGGCCGCAGGAGGGGAGCGGGTGCCACCTACTAAGCCCGCACGCACCTGAGAGAGGAGACGCTCTCTAGACTCGGCTCGGCGGATGCTTTCGAGCCCGGTTGAAGATACCCTGTGCTTGTACATTTTGTAATATCCTCCTAATCCGCACACACACGTTTGTAGCGCTATACACCTGCTGCACCTGCTGAAAGAACCTGCGTGTCAGTCTCATGCAACTCATCGTCAATTAACGGCATTCCTTGACCGCACCTGGGTCTACTGGGAAGTTCTTGGGCGTCCGTAGAATACTTCAAGTGCGCGCTAGGCTAAGGGTCCAAGCTCAAATGCGCGCGTTCAAAGTCTTCCGAGACGAGTTGAGTCGAGAACGACCACTCGCGGGTACCAGTGCTTGGCTTCGCATGCATCACAACGATGAGCCGGAGCAGTGAGCAAGTACGAGCATAGTACAAAGAAACTTGCGGCTGCAGAAGGCTTTTGTAGTATAAGGGAGATATGAAGGTACGAGAGGTTCTGGAGTTGAAGGAACCTCCCGAGTTGTGGCGAAGGGACGACAGAATTCCACTGAAGGCAGTGCGGATCTATATTGTGCGTTATGCTGCCTAACATATCCCTCTTAGCTCAGTTGGTAGAGCGCGTCACTAGTAGTTTCGCTTCATAGCGAGTTCAACAAATGACGAGGTCAGTCGTTCAAATCGGCTAGCGGGAATTTTGCCTCACTCCAGCGACTTTTGCCCGCCCGACGTCTTCCCCCAGAGTAACACTCAAATTTTGGCTCCCCAATCGCTATCACACCGCCCTCGCGTCGACGCAGTACACCAATGTCTATGTATGTTTTATCGTTACCAACAGAATACGCCGAGGCCAGGGTCCTCCAGCCACAGTATACGATAACAAGGCGAAGTATCCACACGATCGAGAACGGCCCGACGCCGCATCTCGCATTACGTTCGGTACGGGAAACAATAAGCAGGGATAATAAGAGCTTGAACAACGGGGGGAAGTGTCCGACAGGGGGGGGGAGAAGGGAAGTCCACGGTCTATCGTCCAGGCGACGCGGGGAACAAGAAAGGCGAGCATAATACGGGAGCGGGGAAGGAGGAGGTGGTGGCGGAGGCGGCGGCGGGAGCGGCAGCAGCCAATGTCTGGTGTTACACGGAAGAGGTACGAAGGTAGGGAATAGGGGAGACGGGGAAGGAAGAGCGCTCCAGAGTACAGTACCACTACACTGGGGTCCGGGTTCTAAAGAGGGGAAGCGTGCGCTGGCCCTCCTCGGCTCCGCGCGCTGACCTTGGGTGCACGGCAGGCGGGGGAGGGCAGGCGCGGAAGTCCGTCACGGTCATCACGGCCGTGCATCTCGTATGCATGTCGTCTTCGTCTTCGTATATCATCGTGTCGTCATCGACGGCCTTTCGTCTGCGCGTTTTACTCTCCGTGGGCGGATCGCCAGCCGGGTCGTTCGGGGCCTCATTGAACTCAGTCGCTGTCGAGATGGAGCGTCTGCACGCAAAGTAAACATAATCAGCCTCCCACAGGCGCACGACCAGCGATCGCAGCACTCACCACCTCGTACACCACATCACCCTTGTGCGCCTCGTTATACGCGCCGACGTCCCCCGTGAGCACGAGCGCGCCGTCGCGCGCACGCACCGCAACGCGCGTCCGGGGGTGCGAGCCGTCCGGGTTCACCCAGTGTGCTGCACGCCGCCACCGCAGTCCCATATTAGCGTTCGAGAGTAGGCGCGGGGCTAGGGGAGGGGATGACGCACCGGTGAGGGCCTGTGTCGCCGCGTCGAACATCCAGATCGCGGACTCGCCCCCGGCCGCCGCTGGCCGCGCGTGGGCAGACGCTGCAGAAGGGCGGGCGAGAGTTTGCGTTAGTGTGCGTTCGGGGAGATGTGGCGGGCGGCAGAGGCGCACGCGCTCCGATCGCGGCCCCGATCCCCTGCCAGGCTGCTTGCAGCCCGGACCCTGCGCTCAGGTGCCCCGCGCGAGGAGGGATGAAATTGGAGTGTGGTACGAGCGCGGTCTGGGGCCGCCGCGAGACACGCACACACACGCCGTACGCCACGGACGCGCAACATGGGGGGTGCAGGGCGCTCAGGGGGGAGAAGGGTGTAGGTTAGACTCACTTTGTTGCACGCTGTTGAGCAGGACCGCGCTGCCCGGGGGAAGCACAGAATGAGCCGCCGTCCTCGCGAAGCGCATATGCGGCGGAAGGGTGGATAGACGTACCTGGGGGACCCTGCAGCAAGTGCAGCCGTGCCCGCTGCACCGATGAACGCCGTGTTCTGCGCGGATGCTGTATCATCGGTCTGGCGAAATCTCAACAAGTCAGCATACACAGATGCTACCTATCACAAAGAAAGTGCGCACCGTTACCGCCGCGTCGACAGCGCTGATGCTGAACAGCGCCCGCGGGCCAGAAGCCGTGAACGCGACGCGCGCGCCGTCTTCATCGTCGCCAAGGCTCCTGTGGTCGCATCGTATCGGCGTAGAGTATGGCAATAGATGCAGATCAGGCACGGGCGCGCGCGCGCGATCAGCAATGCTGCGATCGGGGACGGATTGAGGTGCACTCACACACCGGACGACGAGGACCGCACGTATCCGATAGGGACGTCGGTCCCGGCGTAGCGTGCGACGATGCGCCCCGAGTACGATACGTCGACCGCGCTGCAGTCGCAGTGGCGCGCACGGTGAGCTCTCCTCCGCGACACTAGAAGCACGAAAAAAGACGTACGGTCTGGCTTTGGAGTACGCGAACGGGCTCGCGCTGGGGCTGGGCGCGGTGCGCTTAACGGGCGCGGGCTCGAGCGGGCTGGTGGACGTCGCGCGCTTGACGATGCGCGGCGCGCGCGGGGGCAGGCCGACCGCGAGGCGTTGGGCGTTCGTCCAGAGGTGCTGGTCCGGGCCGCGGAGCGACTTCACGCGCCGGGGGGCCTTCAGGTTGGGGGGTATACTCAGGGCGGAGACGGGAGAATGAGCGACGAGGAGGAAGAGCGTGAGCAAGAGAACGGGGAGGACGGAGAGGCTCCGGCAGAGCATCGCGAGCGGGGCGTAGAGGAGAAAGGGCGTGAAGGAGTGAAGGGACAGGAACGCGCGAGCGAGGAGTCTAAGTCAACGAGGAGCAAGGTGCGAGCGAACGGGGGGAGGCGAACGGTGCACAATGCATGCCACTTTCTATAGTGTGCGCCGAGCCCTGGCCGGCACCATAATCAGACATGGGACGGCCCCACGAGGAGAATAATCTAGATCACAAAAACGGGCTCGCAGGGAAGCGCACGCGCTGGCCCCGCGCTCGGATCAGCCTGCGATTGAGACTGAAGGAGAGGATTCGCCGAACACGGCCACGCTTTTTCGCTCTGGACGCGAGGACAAGACGCCGCGCCGCCGCACCGGGGAGGTGTTAAACTTGGTATTGAGACGCTCGACAACCTCCGACGGTCTGTGGCAGGCACCGCCTGAACCTTCGTGGCTGTGTATCGCACGCTCGGGCCTCGACGTACACCGTCCGCGTGGACAATGCACGGCGATGGCCCAAGCGGCAAGTTGAAGCTTAAGATTGAGCCACTCGGCGTTCAAAGGGGCAGTAAAGGGGGCTTCTTTCCTAGCGGGCATACGATATGTTTGGAGACCGTCCAGAGCAAGGATAGCAGCCGGCACCTCTCAGATGCCGCCCACTGCTGCTGCCGAGAATGCTCGGGGTTGCGGCCTAGCACGTTGAGCTGGAGAACGTTCGAGAGCTGGAGTAAGCTGTCGAATTGCGCCAATGCAAGTGGTGTGAGAAGGAGAAGGCGAGACGCCCTTGCACGAGGCAGCTGGACGGCGAATGAGGGAGTGGCCGGAGGTGATCCATCGGCAGAATCGGTATCGACGGCCCGGGAGATGGGAGTTGAACGTGAGCGACAGCTGGCAAGACATCCGCCTGGGAGCAACTCCCTCAAGGCGGAGTTGTATAGCACAAGGTTGTATGGCATCGGGCTTCATGAAATCGCAGACAGTGCGTTCAACAAGTAGGAGACTTGCGGAGGACGGTGCTCGTGCAACTTGCTACTGACAGGCTGTTTTCTCAGCACGTGATTGATCGCGAGTATCGCGTCTTCGTCCGAGTTCTCCGTGTCAATGCGTATATGCCACAGCGGCGACGACAACGACACTCGAAGGCGCGCACATTGGAGCTATAAAGTAAGTAAGCACAGTTAGCTTGTTTAGAGGAAGGGGGCATCGTGGGCCACGTCGACTCGGACCTAGCTCACCTTGTAGCGCGAGCAGCGGTTCCTAGGGCTCTCTATATGCGCGCCCGAGCCCGCAAAGCTTCAGAAGAGGGTCCATCGATCACAATGTCTAGCGCCTCCGTAGACAGAAACGCAGCGTCCTGAGAGAACCAGGGTATAGAGTCGTCGACTTGCTGATGTGGAGCTTGACACAAATTAAAAGAAGTCAATGAGATGCCACACCCGCTCAAAATTGGCTACAGTCATACCTCGTCATCATTATGTTTGGCTCGTGTACGACACTAAGTATTGATGCGACATGTGGAGATGGGGGGTAAAGAGCAAGCACATAAAATCCATCGTGCGGCACAACATATGTACGATCCCGGGAATTGCCGTTCGTCAGACTGGGAGTGTTAAGCGCCTATCTGTTTTTTTACGCTCAACCTCCACAGCCCTCCGCCTCAGCAAGAGTCAAGTCAGACAGACCACCTTTTTCACGACCGCTGAGCATACATGGGCGATCATGCATGGTGCGCTAACATACATTGCCTGAAGAGGAGGTAATGCACCCATCAATGACACCGCATCCTTCTCTCACCAACCACCAAACTACACGGTAACTTGAATATCTGCCATACTCCGCCCGCGTCTGGCGACTCTGGCCCAGTAGGTGCTCTGCCCCCTTCTTCGCACAGGGATTATTTACTAACCCGCCGAAACGCAGTCCCCCTCTGGCTCCTGCTGCGAGACTGTAACTCGCGGACTCGAGAGCGTTGAGACAGACGTCGCGACGCTCTGTAAGCCTGCCGCACTCGACGACCTTGCGAAGAGGTACCCCGCGAACCGTCTCCGTGTCGTGAAGCTCATCTTCACGAAACCCGCCGACGTCGACGCCGCCCTTGTCTTCCAACCGCCATCACTGGCGGCGTTTCTAGCGGTATTATAGGGATTGCGGCAACTTCCGGCATTTCTCGGGCCTGCGTTGACGGAGCTGGAAGTTTGCGGGGAGCGAGACGTCGAACGGGCAACATGGGACCACGTATTTGACTCCTTCCCTGCGCTTCAAAAGCTGGTCGTCCGCGAGTATGAGTCTGTGCACCTCCCCATTGCCATGGTCCGCTCCCTCGCCGCCCCTCCGAGCACCAGACGCCCAATACTCCACTCAGACTCCACCACTACCACTACTAGCACTTCGAAAGCGCGCGCTGTCCCGCCCCGCGTGCGCTGTCCAGAGCTCAAGCATCTCAGGATCGACGGCTGGGGTTGGAGTAGGCGCGCATTGGGCCAGATCCTGGACTGCCTGCGTGTGCGTGCCGCACACGGCGCGTCTAGGCTGGAGTACTTCGGCTCGGATGCGGACGGGGCGGGGTGGGTGTCGGTGATACTACCTGTCTTGGAGAAATACCGCACGCGGTTTCTTGCCGTCGTTGACGAGTTCGCACTTGACGGGTGGCGGTGGTAGTAGTGGTAGCATCCCTTCCCGGCCACA